TGTGCCTGGGATGGGGTGGGGGTCCCAGGGCGTGGGGCAGGGGTGGGGCAGTGGCGGTTCGGCCACCATGGGTCGTCCCTCGAGGGTGGCCTTGGCCGAGGGTCCTGACTCACCTGGGCCAAGCTGGGGTGAGAGCCCGGGAGCTGCTGCCCTGTCCCACCATCCCTCCCCACAGCCCCCACTCCAGCAGCCTCCCCATGCGCGGCCTTGCTCGCAGAGCGGCCGCTCTGTGTTTTCTTCAGAAAAAGGAAAAAAGTTCCCTTTGTTTACTGCTGAGCTCATTTTTAAACATTTATATTAGGGGGGCTTGCGGGGAGCAGAAATAATTGTGTAATGTCTTAGGAGCAAGGGAGCATTCCAAAAGCATGACTGCGCGGCCCTTTCCAGCACTAACAATCTGGCAGCCAAGTCTTCCCAGCAGCCGCCAAACCCCCCAAATCTAGCCTCAGCCTCTTGACACCCCCCGAGAAAATGGCAGCGTGATCCCTGGGTTGCTTTGCAGGGCACGTCTGCGTGGGGGGTGGGCTGGGAGTGGGGACCCGGCTGAGCCACCCGGGGCCGGGCAGCGGCACTGCCACATCCCCAGCAAAGTGTTCAGGTTGTGAAAGCGGAGACAGGGAGGTAGCAGCTTTGGCTGTCTATATTTCACTGAGACCAGTTGCATCTTATTTTAATTTTGCCAAGCGCCTTTTGGTGTCAAAACAGTTTCAATGTACATTCAGCTCCTCCTTCTCAGCTGCAAGTAGTATAGGTAGAGACTCTGTGAGATTTTACGGACTTTAAATTGAATCCATGATCCTGACAGCTACAGCTTCTCCAGGGAAACGTTTTTTTAAGTGGAAAATAAGCCAAGTCACTGTCTTCCAACAGGTTATCGGGAGCGTTTAACCAGGCTCACCTCCTAACTTGCTGTTTACACTGGAGAGGAGTATTGACATGAAAAGTAAGGAATGTATTAGCAAATATTGATTAGCCCTGGGGCAGCAGCAGTCAGGCATTGCACAAATACAGGCATCTGCTGAGATCGTGGCATGTTATTTGAAGCTTTCAGCAAGACCCTTGTACTGCCGTGAGTC